TTTTTTTTTTGCACATATATTCTCTCTTAACAAGTTGAACAAATCGTACTGAAGTTTCTTCCTTTTTTTTTTCTTGCCAAAAACTAAACAAGTTGAACAGATTGTACACTTAAAAAGCATTATGGCGATTAAGAGTTCAACAATTTCTTCTGCTTGATTCACTGATGTTTTAAAGCTGTTCAGTTAGAGTCCACGCGAAACTCAATTGTCAAAATCGTCGATGTCGATTTGTTTTCATTGTTTATAACTTTCGTTACTGCTGTGTGTAAGTGTGTTATTCTATATACTTAACTAGCCGAACATGTATTTCCTTTTTTAAAAGAATTTTTTATTCTGAAATTACTATTTAATAACTTGACGCTTATACAGTTTATTTATTTTTAATATATTTTAAATTGCAGACTAAAATGTTAGCTGTCGTTTGTTTGTTGCTAGGATTAATTCAGTTATGTCATGCGGATATTTTTACCGCTATTGCAGACATGCAAAATTTGTTAGGTGCAGAAAAAGAGGTAAAAACACTAATTTCCAATTATATCGAAGTTGAAATGGATCGACTGGAACGTTTAAAGAAGTGATTATTATCCTCTGTTGTTAATGTTTCTTTTTTTAAATATAACAATTATAGATGTGAAACTGAAACTGAAACTGAAGCTGCACTTTTTGGCACAATAAACTTGAGACAATGATAAACAAAAGTTCTTTATATCTTAACTGTAATTTTTTTGCTTATAGAATAGCGGAAGAATACGCTGCACGTAATGCAGAAGCAATGCAGTTTGGCCCAGAATATTTAACAAATCCAATTAATGCGTTTAAATTGGTAAAACGTCTAACGCACGATTGGTACTTGGTAGAAAATGCTATGACAAAAAATTCAGCAGATTTCTTTCTCAAAAATATTACAGCAACTCGAGCTTCAAAGAAAGTGAGCACTTTAAACGATTGTTGATCTATGTTGGTAATCTGTATTTTATTTATGCAAGTAAAATATCATATGACAAACTAAATTTAGGCCAAGTATCCACAGCAAGAAGATTTGACTGGAGCAGCCATTGGTTTGGTACGGCTTCAAGCTACTTACAAACTGGATACAAAAGAACTTGCATCTGGTATTATTAAGGGTAGAAAGATTGGTAAAGAAATGACAAGTCAAGATTGTTTTGAAGTCAGTCATTTAACACATCTTGAATTACTTGGAAACTTTAAATTTTTTTAGATATTTTTTTAGATATATAGTAAATATTTCAAAAATTGATGAATTTTGAGAGTTTATTATGTTGTTGAATGTTTTTTAGATTAAAACAAACAGTTGCTGTCTTTAAGTAAATATTACTGTATGATGCAACCTCCAAAACGATGGTATAAGCTTTGTTATTTAAGATTGGTAGGGCTGCATATGATAACGGCGATTATTATCATACAGTACTGTGGATGCAAGAAGCTGAACGTCGTCGTGCATCTGAGAAACCACCATTGACAGATCTTGAAGATATTATTGAATATCACGCATTTGCACTTTTTAAACAGGATAATATTAAACGTGCTTTAGAACTCACTAAACAGTTGCTAAAATTGGATCCAAATCATCCTAGAGCCAAAGGTAAAAATTATCATTTCTTGGGCTTTTTCCACTTCATCTGAAGTTAGCTTACTCAGTTATTTCTTGTTGCAGTGTAGTTTTTGTCACTTTATATAGTTTCGACAGCAACAAGAAACTGTTTTTGCAAAGTTTAGTTGTTTACACTCTAGCTCTCCAAGTGTTCTCTCAAAGGTTTTTTTTCTTCCATTAATTTCATTGTTACCACTGAAAATTTCTTTGATAAATCAGATTTTATTTTTATTACTTTTGATTAAAAACAAATTTTTTTTTGTCAGTTGAATTTTTTAGGGAATATAAAATGGTATAAGGATATGTTAAGCGAGGAAGAAGTAAGAGCCAGGGATATGCCACCATTAAAGCTGTATAGACCCGATGATCTTCCAGAACGGGATACCTATGAAGCTTTATGTCGAGGTGAAGAAACGGTAAATCTTTGGTTGCTATAATTCTTGAAAAAAAAAGTGTTTTTTTTTTAATTAGTTTGGAGAAAAACGAAGGAACTAGGTGAATAATTTTGTTCACAAGTCATTCGTGTTTTTCAATTAACTAGATTTATTTCAACAGCTGTTTCAATACTTGCAGAATCTGGAATATTAGAAGATGGTTAATTACTGTTTAGGCCCCAATAGATCACACTGTATACTGTTACTACAAGATGGACAAACCGTATCTACGTTTAGCACCAATCAAAGTTGAAATCCTACGCTTTGATCCACTCGTTGTACTGTTTAAACAGATAATAAGTGATTATGAAATCGAAGTAATCAAAGAGCTTTCAATTCCCCGGGCAAGCATTCTTTTTTCCTGTTCTTTAGCACCAAATAATTTTTAATTTATATAATGCTTTTATTTGAATATTGAATTTGTTTGATAACTGTCTACCTTTTTTAGTTACGTCGTGCAACTGTACAAAATGCCAGAACTGGCGATTTGGAATATGCCAGCTATCGTATCAGTAAAAGGTACTTTATTCAAGTAATAAACGTCGCTGAAATGTATAATATATGGAAATTTTAATCAAATTATAATCATCGTTTACTAGTCAGAAGTGATTTCAAACCAGAAAAATGTCACGTAAAAATTTGAAAAAATTTAGTGCGTGGATTAGGGGAGAGGAACATCCGGTGATTGACCGGATTAACAAACGCATTGGATTGATGACAAACTTGAACCAGAATACAGCTGAAGAACTACAGGTTTGGTCATGAAAGGGCTTATAAACAGGAGAGCATCTGAAATGTTTGGCTGGAAAATACTTGTAGCATTAATAATAATTAATACATCGTTGACTCGGACTATTATAGGTTTAACGAATTTGTTATTGAAGTCATTGAGTAAATGATGCTGTCTGATGTGTACATTTAGAAAATTCACAGTTGTACGTCAAATCACGTAGTTTTTTTAGGCACAAAACTATGGTATCGGTGGTCATTATGACCCTCATTTTGACTTTGCAAGAGTAAGTTTATTTCTTCAGATTCGAGGATGTTAAAACTGTTTTTATTTTAGGCACAAAACTATGGTATCGGTGGACACTATGAGCCACATTTTGATATGTCATTGGTAGGCGATGTGATTGCCCGCTGAAGGATTTGCTTATTACACTAAACAATTTTCATCTTACTTTTTTAAAAAAATAAATAGTCTTTTTATTTTCTAGGTATTGCAGTCTTCAGCATTTCGCTCTTTCAGACATAAAAACTGTAGATATGAATGAGAATACTGTTAGGTTTAACAGGGCCGGAAAGTCACATTTTGCAAAATTTAGAGAGGCGAAAATGATCCATATAGAGTTGGGACTGGCAATCGCATTGCTACCGTTTTATTTTATGTAAGTGAAATTTTTTTTATTCAGTTTTCTAAAGTTTCTTACATTTTAGAAAGAAGAAACCAATGCGTTCAAAACTCTTGGAACTGGTAATCGTATTGCAACTATACTAATTTATGTAAGCCCGCTTGACGTTCTCTGCATGATGCTTTCTTTTTCCTGTTCAGCTTCCTCATGCTTATAATTGCTTTTAAAACAAATTAATGCGCATGAAATTTGTACCTCTGCTACCATTTCTGCAAAAAAAATTTTGAACTGGCTTACAAAAGACGTAGCTGCGGCACTTGATTTTCTTTTTATAAATCATCAATATTTGCAGATAATTGGTTATACACTTTTTGCGCAAATATCTGTCAGGCAGCTAACTTTTTTGATATTTTCAGATGACGGACGTCGAACTAGGAGGAGCTACAGTATTCATCGAATTGGGTAACGCTGTGTTTCCGTCAAAATATGATGCCCTCTTTTGGTACAACCTAAGAAGGTTAGTTTTCTGTCATCTCTCTACTACAACCTTGCACAATATTTAATTATAATTTTGCAGAAGAAGATGTAAAAAATACTTAACTTATGGTGTATAAGAACTTAAATATTATGTTTCCTCCTCGCGTGCGGGTTCAAGTAGTTATTTTCTGATTCTTCAAGTCAGAGCAGCCCATGAAAAAACCACAGAACCAAACAAATTTTAACACAAAGATTGAGAGGGTTATCAGTATCTTAAATGTTGCTCAGAGTTTCCGCACAGCGATTGCAGCATCGTGGTGAAGCGCTTTATCAATTGTTTTTCATTACTGTTGTTGTTCGGAAGTGCTTTTTTATTACTTGCTTCTTGAAACTCCAACTTTTTTCAGCCATTTTTTTACTGTATTAACATTTTGAGACATTAGGTTTTGAAAGTCATCGTTAAAATCGTGTGTACTGAGTTTTTATGGTGTCTGCTACTACGCGCTAGGAGTAAACTTAGTTTGGCCACGCTGTTGCAAACAATTGCTAGAATCTATAAATGGGTCAGAAATTCCGGTTGGGAGGTTTAGCTAGCGGTTCTGTTTACTGAATATTCTATAAACTGAAGCTTAAGAACTTACTTTCGCAGTTAGTCAAATAACTGCCGTTTTGAATACGTTTTCTGAGAACCTTGTAAAGTTCATTTTGTAATATCGGCTATGTGCTCAAAAACTTCAGGTAACTCATCTACTCTTTAGAAGTGGCGAAGGTGATTTGCGAACGCGGCATGCGGCATGTCCAGTCTTGCTCGGTATCAAGTGGGTGTCGAATAAATGGATACATGAACGAGGTCAAGAGTTCGCCAGACCATGTGGCTTGACCGAAGATGTTGCAGAGAATTATGTCGGGGACTTGAACAATTAGGGACCTTTCCGTTTTTTTAAAGCATTTTTTGCGAATATAGCTATGTGGTTTAATTTAGTATGTTTGTAAATATAGTTGGTAAGCGATGAGGGTTACGTTCGCTTTGTACGAATAGTTAGTTAATTATTAGCAAATTTTCTTCTATTACCTCAGTTAATTGTTTTTCTTTCTTGATTTTGCCTGTTATTCAAACGAAGCCAACTTGTCCCTTCTGTTGGCGACAATTGGTTCTTTCGTTGTCGCTTGCATTATACGGCTCCCAAAGTCTCAAAGTCAAAATTCTCAAATAAAAAATCTTGTCAGTTTTGAGTTGTTCCTTGTCTGGACAAATGACAACCGTTGCCTAATTAAATTGTTCATATGATAGAAGACTGTTAAACAGTCAAGCGAACCGTCTCGATACACTATATCACTAGTGGAAGAGAGGCAGCAGTGATCATTTAGACAAGTTGATCATAATAATTTGAGTAATGAGCTGAATTGTATGTGCGTACAAACAACCTTTCTTTAAAGTTTGAGGAGGATTTACAAGCCATAGAAAACGCGAACTTAGCTGCTTTTGTGGCGTGAGCTATATTAGGATCAAAGTAAGAAGAAGCAAAAATTGTAAAAGCAGCGAATGTTCTGTGTATCATCGCAGTGTTGTAGTGCTATTTTCAGCTTCATCAATTAAGATTATTAAATCCTGTTTTGACAAGAAGCCTCCTCCTGTCAAGAATCCTGCTCCCGCTTTATTCTAAATTATATTTGGCATCATTTCACGAGTCACAAATTCCAGCATAACAAATTCCTATTACTTAGACATCTCAAAACGAAGAGATAAAAGTCGTACAATAAGGATCAATTTTTAAATTTTTGCAGATGTACCACTACGGTTATAAATGTCCATCAACTCACCTCCAGCAGAGTCAGCAACTATTCAGAGTTTGCTTCTTCATTCAGAAAGGAAAAATGTGAGTCACAAACCAACCACCTTTCTTGAAATAACTGTTAGTTTTTAAAGGTTTTTCAAATCCTAAAGGTGTGCGGGAACTGTAATTCTTTGTTCTGAAAAAGTTTATTCATAAACTGCTATACTATTAGTTAACGTGAAACTACCTTCACTTTTCCTGAGGTTCTGTTAAACTTTAACTTATAGAATATATAGGGATGGAAGACATACATAGGGATTTTCTGAGGTTTTCCTTCAAAAAAGTAACTGGCTGTGCTATGAAACTCAGTGCACGGTGAGATTACTGCCTTAACGCAATGCATAATGTACGTTTCCTCAGTGTGAAATGTTATTGTTCTGCTGCGCGCTGCAATGCCGATATCTGTTGGTTACATTAACAATCGTTCTGTCTCCCTGTCTGCAATCTGTTTTAGCACGCGAAATTGTGGAACGAAAAAACCGATCGACAGTTGAACACAGTGTTTTCTGTAATGCATCAATACGACTAGTCGTAAACTTACCTGGCTGGGAGGGTTCTCGTGATCATGAAGGCGGGACCTCCATGGTGAGGCTTGGCCATTGCACTTTCGGCTAGGCTGACCTGTGTGGCATTCCCGAGTTGGGATTGGCCAACAGCATAATTTTTGCGTTTGGGGGAGCGTTCGCGCTTCCCTGCGTAATGATAAATGTTGTGGTAGGTGCTGAGGGGGTATTCAACTTTACCTTAGGATTGTCTTCGTAGAGGGTTACTTTAAAAAATTCAGTTTCTGTCCGAAGCTCATAGTTAGATTTGTTTAGCACTTAGTTGACGATAATATTTGTTCACTTGTTTAAGCAGTGGCTGACTGGATTTGGACAAACACGGACGGCCTGTACAATATCATAAAAACGAGTATTATTATACCTTCATTAGTAATGATATTTGCATTATCATTAAGAAATATTTGGTTCTCTACTGTGGCTCACGGTAACTGAGTGGTACTAAACGCTCTCTAGTATTGACGGTGGGTTTATGTAAAAGTTATTACGTGTCAGCTTCAATAAAACTTTATCATATGTGTAGAAAAATGCTGATTGCCGTAACAATAAAATATGTATGGCGAACGGTTAGAGATGACAATTGTGACCAACAAGAAATCTACAGGTTTTGGCAGCGAAATGTTCACAAAATAATGAAGGAAAAATTTAAAGAGAACCTTATGACAAAAATCCAATTAGCACCAATATATGTTGCAAAAGAAACTTCCTTGTTTAATTTCTTTCTCTGTACTCTGCTATATCTCGTTACTTTTTTGTTCCTCAAAAGCTGCTCAGAACACTAAACATGTAGGTGAATTTCCCAAAAGCGATAAATCAAAGTGTTGTGTATCCACTGTTTAATTAATTTGTAATTTGAATGGCTACAGTTTTCCATTAATTTCAAATTCTCATGGTCTTCGTCTGATTCTCTATTTGTTTAGTGCCCTTGTTCCTACATCCGACCTTTTCTTCCAGCCCAGTGGTCCATTTAGAAAGGCATCAAAAAAATGGAGTCAAAAATCATATAATACACCTCGAATCCAATCGTAACCCAGTTTTTACGTCGATATTTTGAAACGGAAGATAATGCCGACTAACAGCAGTGACAAATAATGATTGAAAACTTCTGCTAGCAAAAAAAATATGATAAATTTTAGTGTAAAGAAATTCCTTTTAGCAATGTTATCTGTAGTTTGATAGCAGATAATTAGAAAAAAACCCTTTCGTTTGCGGCCAAAAATTGTTGCGTCAAATAAACATTAATTCAAATAAAATCAAATTAAAAGAACTTGCAACTCCATTCCAAAACGAAAGGCTTTTATTTTTTTTTTTCGATTAGAATTAAGATTTAGTTTTAGCGGTACTGTCAATGTTTTTTTTTGTTACTATTACATTCTCGGACCGACCCTCCGCGCCAATTGCTATCGGATCACTTCAAATTTCTGACAGTTTTTAAGTGTTGTATTAGTCCTTCATACAACTAAATCATTGCCTGATATTCTCTAGTTTTTTTAGTTTTGGCTTTTACTGCTATACCTCTTCTCCCGAAACAACCCTTCCGTTGTTCGGTAATTTCGTATATACCTTATCTGACCATTTATGTTGAAATACTCCCGTGCACAGCAAAGAAAAACTGAATTTTTAATGACTTTTGTAAGTAATATACGAGCAACTTAGCGAAGTCTTTGCATATTATCCTATTGTTTTGTGCTGTTATACAAAAGTTCTTACTAAACCACTTTTTTTTCCGCTAATTTATCATGAGCAAATATACAA